ATGTGGTATCTCACAATACAGAAAACATTCAGGGGGAGCTGTGTTGGCTATTTACCAAATTCAAACAAAATTCCATCAGTGATACCTTTATTGGCCAACCAAAATAAGCAATATACTTGTTGTTAAGATAGCAAGTTTATTATAGTCTTTTAAATCTATGGGAGAGGCAGACTCCATGATGGGAAAGGAATTTTTCAAGGTATCAAAACCAAAATGTGCCCCTAGGGTCAATGGTGGCAGTCTCCATGTCATTCCGTATAAATGCCTTCATCTGCCCTAGAAAGTGATAGCTTCATATTGAGTTAATTAATGATAACTAATTAAATGAATTCAATTTAGTAGTATGAATGGTAATGAATTAATTTCCCAATTTCTAATGTTTGACATTAGGAAATTAATTTTCAGTCTTAATGTTCTAAGCCCTGATGTCATTGAATTGGTAGTTCAGACTGTGCTCTTATATGATATATCGCCAATGCACATTAGTTATAATTATATTTTTATTGTTCTTTTGAAGTATTTCACATCACCCTTTTCTATTTGTGGGAGTCAAGGGTGATCTTCCAGATGTTTAAAGACAGAAGTGCTTTGCAAAGCAGATGCTCATTCTTTGCTGGACATATTGGGAAATCAGCTTCTTAAATATGCTGAAGATGAGTAAGCTGTTTCCCCAATGATGCTATCCCTTTTCCTCCAAACTTGTTTAGTCATATCCTCCATTAATAGATGATTGACAAAGAGAGAGCTAAATCTTTGGAGATAGCTCCTGCTTAGAATACGAATTCCATAGTATTGGTGGGCCTTTGGTATCTATTGGGGTTTGGTTGCAGGACCCCCCCATAGATACCAAAATCTGTGGATGCTCAAGACCCATTATATACAATGGCATAGAGGTCCTTTATATAAAATTGGCAAAATCAAGGTTCACTATTTGGATGTTTAAAAAAATATTTTCAAGCTGTGGATCGTAGAATCCATGGATACAGAATCCATGGATAAGAAGGACTGACTGTATTATGGGGGCTGGAATCATCTTTTCTTGGGTTGCCACAGATGTCTTCCACTTTCAAGCAACCTTTTTCATGATTTGAGGGTCGGTTCTTTGTCTTTGATTCAGGGCACAATTAATTGAAATGCCAGCAGGATCCAAACTGGGTGCTGTCAAATGACAGGTGGATGGGCAGGGGAAGTATGAGAAATGAGGCACAAACAAGACCAAAGAGTTGATTGTATAAAATGAAGCCTGGGCAAAACTGACAAGCTGATCACTCACACTTTGGTTGCATTTTAAAGTTATTTTCCTCCCAAGTGCTGTGCAGAGGAGGTGGAGACAGGGATGGGCAAGAATTTCAGTTCAGTTCACTTTTTAATCAAAATTTACTAAAGTTCACAACTTTCAAATGTGGGAGAAATTTTCCCATCTCTACTTAGGTAAGTGCTATAGTTCACCTGGTAAAACACGTGATTTAAATGCAAAAGAATCCAGGTCCAATTGCTAGCATCTCCAACCTTTGAAAAAGATTCCTAGATGAAACCATGGAAAAGCTACTGCCAAGCAGGGTAAACAATACTGGGCTAGACAAACCAGCAATCTGACTTACTATAACAAGTGTGGGGAATCTACCCTTTACTTACATGACTGGTATTCATGTCCCTCCTACTGTTATTGGAATCTAACTCAAATCCACCCAGCCAATACTATATAGTCAGTGGCCAGGAATGAGGGGAGTTGTTGATTAACATGTTGAAGTAATCCATTCTTGTGCTGCAAGGTAGCTCCTTATGCTTCTATGCTTTAATTCCAGAGCCCCTTTTCAGTGGAAAAGAGTTAAAGTAAGTGGTAGCTTAAACTTTCATAGACTTGGGTCCAAAACACACTGCAGAAATAATCCAGTTTGAGACCACTTTAACTGCCCTGGCTCTATGCTAGGGAATTCTGGGAACTATAGTTTTGTGAGACATTTGCCCTTCCCTGTCAGAGAGCTCTGATGCCATGATGAACTACAATTCCTATGATTCCCAGGCACTGAGGCAGGGCAGTTAAAGTGGTCTCAAACTGGATTATTTCTGCAGTGTGTTTTGGAACTTGGTCTACTTCCTCAGAAGCACCAGAATAAGTAGACTAATGGGCTAAGCAGACAGCGCTTTGCGCCATCTTCAGAGCAAGGAAGGGGA